CGTCCTCGTACCCCATCACTCCATCACACTCCTCCCCTCCCCGCTCCTCCTCCCTCCCCGCTCTCCTCCCCCCCCGCTCCTCCTCCCTCCCCTCCCCTCGATCCATCAAACTCTCTCCCCATCCTCCTTACGTGCTGTATTTGCTTGCCACCTCTCCCTGCAGCCTCTGATTAGTTTATCTCTCCGCCTCCTCCTCCCCCCCCACTACCTCAAACCCATAGATCTTGTTCATGTTGACGCTCTCATGATTGCCGCGGTTGAGATGCATGTGGTTGGGCAGTAGACACTTGTAGCCAAACAGGGCGAGCACGACCTCCAGCCCGAAGGAGCCGCTGCTGGACGGTGAGCATGGGAGGAAGGGGCGACAAAGCAAGAGACCGATCGACAAAGTCTCCGTTGAACAGGTAGGGATTCGCCTTGGAGGGTTTTCCGTTCATCTCAAAGATGTTCAGCAGGTCGTAGTACTGCAGCCAAGTCACAGACCCACACGATCCCTTCATCTCCTCCTCCCCCATCCAAGCCTTCTCTGCGTATCTCGTTCCTTCTCCTCTTCCTCCTCTTTCCAACATCCTCCTTCCCACCTGTCCATGGACGTCGCCGCATACTGTGATGCTCTCTCCCGCAACCACAGGAACATCCACCACTGTCTTCTCTTGCTTGAGAATGTTGCGAACCTGCCACAAGTCGCACGAGTCACCAGCTCGTCGCCTGCTCCTCCCCACCTGTCCTCCTTCCACTGCTCCGCAGCACCTGGTACAGGATCTGATAGACGTACTTCTTGTGCAACTTCTTTTCCGCCTACACGTGGATTAGCCAGCGCACGACAGGGAGAGGAGTAGCGAGACTCGCAGGAGGAGCACAAGCAGGTAGAGGATGGGTAAGGACCAGAGGAAGGTGGGAGGTGGGAGGTACCTTAAGCCAGAGAAGAAGCTCATCCATGAATTTCTCCGTCACTATCCCATCCTCAAGACGGGGCCCCGTGTACGTCGACTCGACTTCGATCGTGTCCTGCGATCTCGTCACGCTCAGCGTCTCCCGCTTCCCCTCCCCTCACCGGGTCAATCTGAGTGGCTGGAGCCCCGTGATCCACCCCGATGGCTGCTTCGAACTTCTCCTTCCGGATCGCCTGAGCCCTCACACTCAGTCCCGATCTTCTCTCCACTCCTACCGCTCACCTTCTCACACTCATTCAGCTTGCTGCGAGCGTCTTTGTTCGCCGGCTCAATTTTCACGGCCTCTCTGCAAGCAGATGGTCAGTCGTGAAAGAGATAGAGAGGGAGGAAATGGAAAGACGGCAGTTGAGGCCAAAAGAAAAGTCAAGGAGGGGGTGAGGAGGAGAAGACACCGGAAGTCAGCTCTAGCCTGCTTCAGTTTGTGAAGGGCGAGGTAAGCCGTTCCTCTCCTGTAGTAGCCCTTCCAAGTAGATCAGAGGCTGCAGCTACGTTCAGAGGCTGCCCTCTCACCTTGATGTACGTGGGATCCAACGTGATTGCCTCGGTAGCGTCGATGATGGCACTTCCTGATCACAACATGCGTCAGTTGCGAATGAGAGTGAAAGAATAGGCGAAGAGGAGCAAGCGGAGGGAAAGGAGATGATGTGAAGGAAGGAGGCAAGCGGGAAGGCATAGCTGAGAAGGAGGGCAAGGGGAGACCGTAGTTCTCAAGTTTGACATGGCAGAAGGCGCGGTTTGCGTAGAGAACGTGATTGCGCTGGTTGAGCTCGATGGCTTCGGTGTAGAGGTCGATAGCTTCCTTGAGGTGACTCTCTTGGAATTTCTTGTTTGCTTGTGCTTTGATCTCCTCCGATTTTGCGAGCTGCTCTGGCGTTGGCTCGGGCTTCTCAGGGGGGAGGGAGACAACAGTGGAAGTGTCTGAGTCGGCGTCGGACATGCCTGCAACAGTATCACCACGCTTGCAAGAGAGCTGGAAGTCATCATTCGCCTCCCTCCGACTCACAACACCTGCCTCATCCTCAGCCTTTACAAGCTCTTTCCATGAGTCTCATGCTCTTGCGTCATTGTTCTTGTCAATCTCGTCTTTCTCGCCATCATCCTCGTCTTCTCTGTCTGGCGCCCTTTGTGCTAGTCTCCCTGCCGCACCTCGATCTTACATCTCATCCCACGTACCCCTCGTTTCCCCTCTGGTCCCTTTTCTTATTCCACCCTGCCACATCTCCCTTCCTTTCTGTCTGTCTATCTGTCTGCATATTTCTGTCGCATTGCTGTCTTCTTCAAAACACTTCACGTATGTGGTTGGACTATACTTCAGTATTTGACTGCTTGCTTGCCCGCTCGCTCGCCGTCTTGCCAGCCAGCCAGCCAGCCAGCCAGCCAGCCAGCGTCTCTCCTCGCAATTGGCTCATGTCTGTGCACGTCGGTTCTCATCTCCCTCCTGCTCCTGCTCTATCTGCTCCTGCTCTTGATGCTCCTGCTCGATCTCCTTCTGCTCCTTCTGCTCCTTCTGCTCCTTCTGCTCCTTCTGCTCCTCCTGCTCCTTCTGCTCCTTCTGCTCCTTCTGCTCCTTCTGCTCCTTCTGCTTCTT